TTTTCTTAAAACATTGATATCCCATGTGTACCCCAACACGCAAGCTTTTTGAGAACAAGGTCACGTGATGGTGTCCTAAATAAAATTGTGAATTCAAATCACTCTTCAGATCTTCTGAATTGTAGCCATGAGCTTTTATAAATATGCCAACATACGTATTGTATTGTTTATGTGATTTTTAATTGACCGATATACCTTTAATCACCTCATTATTAGCACCTGTTTTCCTTGGTGTGAGGAGCCCAGTGAATCCCAAGGCAAATTATGCTTTTTAATTGCTATTCTTAATGAGTTCCGCAGGCCTGTTGTGCTCTTTGTACACTGACCAGTTCCTTCTCTAACACAACAGAAAAGAATGATGCAGCAATTAGAGCAAATTAGGCCACATTTTATCAAGAGGTAAGACTACAATGCTTTGCTTTATTTTGTCCGAGTGCAGAGCTTCCACAGATTTAGAATATCATTTGTCAGACAAAGAACGGACTCAAAAGGCACCTCCCATTAAACTTCTACCTTTCTTTCATCAGAAAAACTTGAAGTTATTCCATTTAAAATGCAGCATTTAGCAATCGGAATCCCAGCAGTGTTACACAGTATATCAGAATAGTTCCATGGGGTGAAGGATAGGATAGCTGCCAAATCAAGGTGAAAGCATGTGAAGTAGGGCTGGCGGAGGGTTTTTTCTGGTGGGGGTGAGGGGCTGGTCAAGCACACACGTCTCAAGCGATGGAGGAGAACTGCTCCTCTCTCCCCACCCCATCAGCCATGGAGTCAAGGTTATGGGGCCAGTTTTACTGTAGACTCTTTTGTTCTTGGGCCATGGAGCCTTGGCCTACTCCTGGAAAGCCAGACTGGAGTGTCTCAACTGATGGCCCCCCCAACACAGTAGGGGTATGAACTCTATCACCAGTGGGCCAGGAAAATGGCCATCTTCGGTTGGCCAGCAACCAAGTTTCCAGTCAGGTGGCTTGACTATTTAGTGTCCTGCTTGGGACGTTAAGCTGCCAGTTAAGGGCCTCAGTTGATAGCAGGGCAGGAAGGTCAAGCTTCGGCCTTCCTACCCAGAACCTAACTCGAGCGGAGCAGACAGGTGATAGGGTTCCAGTGTGGCACTACTTCACTGAATGAGTCACTTACACTGACTCTAAGTGGAAGTTTCTACCCACAGTTCCATTGGTGTTGATGACAACTATTCTCAAGGTGAACATCATGGTGCGACAGCAAACTGACCGAATCTGGGGAAATGTCTAATCTGTAAATTATTGCAGTATTGGGTATCATTAAATAGTGTTCTGAATTTCCTAAAATTATGCAAAATAACAGCGCAAGAATTAACCTTGGGTATCATAAAAAGTTATACTTTACTGAAAACAAAAAATGCTGGAGATCACAGCGGATCAGGCAGCATCCATGGAGAGAAAGCAAGCTAATGTTGAGTCTAGATGACTCTTCATCAGAACATCATCAAGGGTTATCTAATCTCGATATGTTAGTTTGTTTTCTCTCCATGGATGCTGCCTGACCTGCTTGAATTTCCAGCATTTTTTGTTTTCAGTTTGGTTGCAGCATCTGCGTTAATTTGCTCCAACATACTTTACAGAAATGTCCTTTAGCTCATCAAACCTGTTCCTCCAATATATTGCACAATAGCAGACTCCTCTCAACTTGTGTAATTTGAAGATATTCAAACAGCACATTTGCAAGATAGATTGTTTAATGTCCTTTGGCGTCTATTGATCTTGTATAATCCTGTAACAATCTCTGCGATCTGTATTAATCAACCATTCATATTGCCATTGCAATTTACAACCTTCAGTCCAGCTCTTAATGTTATTGGGTCCTTTTTCTTTAATGGAATTGTCTAATGTAGCAAAAAGTACAAAAAAAAATGCCATTCAGTGGGGAAGAAAAATTTGTAAAAGCTAATTATTTTTATGGTGGCCATTTATTTTGGAAACTGATCCGAACTTTCCCACATTTTGTCAAAGTGCTTTATCACGTGGTTATTCAAGGTGCTCAGTCTTCAAGGCCCATATCGACTTTTCTCATATGATTGCCAGCTCCTTATTTCGTTAATTATGTGACAGTCCTCTTTGGCACCCATCATATGAAATTGTGCAGCAGGTGGGTTTGACAGTGCCTACTGCTGCCAGCTCTTTGTGATATTCACATTGCTGGCACTATTTTTAAAGCCCAGCTGCACCCTGCCTTCAGATGCTGTAACGTCCTCCCTTCTTATGCTTCACCCTTATTAGGGGGCTGGGTGGCATTCTCTTTGGAGGATCAGTGCAGAGCTGATGGGCCAAATAGCCTCTCTCTGCACAGTAAGGAATTCTATGATTTCCAAGGACAGGGCCCAGAAATGGGAAGCTGAAACCACACCTTGACGACAGGGTAGTGGTTAAGAGGGCTGTGCGTTTTCCTGCTGGTCAGCAGAAAGAGGCCAGGCCACCAGACACAGCCAACTTGGACAGAGATAGTGCCCTGGGTCAGGATGGTCTCCCTGGTGAAACACAATGCACTGCAACACAGGATCTTCTTAGTGATCTTCTGCTGTCTACAAAAGTAAGTGCTATTATTTTCTCCATGGTACATCATGCTCTCAGAAGCACCACATTCTCTAAATCTACCATTGCACAGCCCTCTCACTAAGGCTCATGGACTACAGATCCTATGATTGCATACATCAAGTCCACTCAATGTCTCTCATTCTCTGAAACTACAAGCCCCTCCTACCTTCTGCATTTCCTATCCATTCCTTATCATCTCTCCTGCTCATGCATCACCACTAACTGCTCGGCCATCACGGTCATACTCAGTCCCTCCCTTTGTTTCATTACAGTAAACATTAACCACCCCTGAACTATGTTAGCCCAACTAACTTAGCTACAATCCCCAAATGATTCCACCTGACCTGCAGGATGGAGTGTGGCTAAGACCCTGAACTGGAATGGTTTGAGTCCTTTGTTATTGTCTAGAATGGTGAACTGAAATAAAGGTCTCATTAAAAGTGTGGATTTACACCTTGATTAATAACAATGTTCTTGTAGTGTGTAATAGTTAATGTTTACAGCAGCAGTACCCCCTAAAAAACTATAGGGACTTGCCCCCTTTCAATTTCACATGAGCCATTTGTTTTAAGGACATGCAGTGTATTTGCCATATAAGCTGCTGGCATGTGCTATAAGTGTGACAGTGGCACAGCAGATTGCCATACAGCAAGATGTCCATTCGCTTGCCTGTACAGTGTTCTGAACCGTGACAAGCTGCTGCCTTTCCCTCTGTGTTGAAAAGCAATACAAGCCATGAAGCTGGCAGCCTCCAAGTTAGCACAAAGTGAGTGAGCCCTAGGAAAGTAGCCAGGAGTCATAAGCCACTGCCAGTGGAAATGTGAGAGATTGGCGTGTGAGACCCTGTATGCAATGTGACTTTGCAGAAGTGAGCTCCAAAGTGAAGTGCTGAAGTGTTGTGTGAGTTGGTCCAAAAGCAGCTACGATCATGTGTTGAGGCTGGTGGTTTGTCAATGCTGACTTGCTTGGATAAAGGTTGGAAGAGGACACTGGTGAAGACAGAGTTGGATGAATGCCTGGAGAAGCAATCAGCAAGTGGCCGCCACCAGGTAACCATTCTGACCTTCACATCAGGGATTGGCACCAACCTGTTTCTCAGGAGAGGGGGAGAATTGCAAAGTCCATAGAAATGAGCTGAGTTTAGTTAATAGTGAAATGCAAATGCATTTGTAATAAGGCCACTACTGAAATTTTGTTAACCTTAAGGGGAAAATTAGACTTTTTTTTAAAAAGACATTGAGTGGCTAATTTTGCTTCATTTATGTTGTATTTTCCCAACTTTCTTGTTGTTAGCCACACTGCTCAAGGGAACAGAAGTTTCCAACAGTAATTTAAATTTAATAACCTGCTTATTTCTACATTGTCCCTCCCTCTCAGCTATGCCTGATATCATTACACCAATGTTCTTTGCTCCAGTGGTGGGGAAAAAAAAGTCCATCTGGCCAACCTTTTTTTACTAATTTAGATTCTCAAGCTCTTGATTATCCATTAATGTTCTTCCACTAAAATACATGATACATCCCCATCTTTCTGAATGTTGGAATTTTCTTAAGAATTTAAATGTGGCTTAACAGAGACTTGTACTGATCACTAAAGCTTAACACCAAATACTTGAGGGAAACAGGTTAATGACTGATCAACTCTGTTGAAAGAAAAAAATTTGAATATTCAATAATTTATTTATGCACTAGACCCATTTGCATCTCTGCCTTTTACTGTGGACACTTATTGTTTATGTCTTATGTTCAAGTACAGAATGCATTCTCATATTTTATCATACTATAATCATTTAACCTTTCTCAGTGGCTTCATTTAAATAATCAATCTGACTGCTATTGATCCCTCTGAATGTGTTACCCCCCCCCACCACTAAATCAAGCCATCAGCAGATGAGATACTTGCAAGTGAAAGTACAGAAGTGAACCACACACATATATTCTGGCAAGCAGCTCAGCTCGCTCTCTCTAAAATGCAATGGCTGCAACTATCAGAACAAGCATAGTGGTAATTTGCTGCCTTCTCTAACTTTATTGCCTCCCAAGTTACAGAAAGACAAAACCTACACTTCAGGGACTCCACTTTGAAATTAAGTTAAAAGTGATGGCAGAATCTGCTAAATAATTTTCCATCCCATTTCAAGAAAAATGTCACTTTGTCAACTCTAAGAGATCCCTTGAAATTTCAAACATCAAGGTCAGGTTAATTCCACAAAAGGGCTTCATTCTGATAGTTACATGGTAATTCACACTATCATTATGTGGCTTTTGGCTTCAGAAAATAAATTCAAATCATTCAAAAACGCTTGTGATGAGGATCAATTTATCACAATGTTCTCCCTGGGGATCCGTTATATCATTTCTAAATAAGAATTTCTTCAGCAGAGAAACTGTGGTGGAAAAGCCTTTACAAAAACCTGGCAAATGTAAAATCTTATCCTCCAAATAAAGTTTATTCATTATTTATAACTAACAGTTACAAGCAAATCCAATATTATCCAATAGTTTATACATATTATATGAGTTCATTACATAAATTCAAGATGAGCTGGTGAGTAAATAACAACACAAGACATAGTCATGGAAGAAAGAATTTGTGATCCTTATCGCATTTTGCAGTATCAAAATCTACATCAATATTGTGCAGATTGCATGAAATATAACACAACACATCACATTTCCCCCAAGGCAATCTCTCCTCAAAACTAAAATCGGACACAAATATGTACATGTCTCATTCTTTTCAAATGTGAAGCATTTTACATAATCTGTAGTCATATGAATCTGATAGGTTTTATCTCCACAAAATCCAAAGTGGCTGAGTCTAAAGTTAATCTAGATGCTCTGCATTCAAATTCAGTGAAATTTTTAATGTACTTCACAGCAATATGCTCAGGAAACCCATTATTCTTCAAGGAACACTTTCATTTTAACATAATTTAAAAAAATATCACATGTTGACTAGTTATTTGAGCTCACCTTCAATAAACTTGTCTTTTGTAATGGTACTCATATTTGATCTTATTTAGAACCTAGGATGCATGGTTACCTTCAAAAGGTATAAAATAAATGATAAGTACCTCGATGGCATCAAAAACAAGTGTGATACTTTACATTGTTCCTCACATATTGCATAAAAGTTCCATTTATTAAGGTAAAATTAAAAACATTTACATTTGGCTGAAGGCTGCAACCAGATTTCTGTGTGAATAAATCATGTAAGCTGTGATTCTTGGAATCCACATTGACTACCTTTATAAGTTCAAAATCTTTATTTTATGCTATTCATTTCCATTTCATGTAACGACATAAATTTTTTGGCTAGAGAATATTTTTGTACTGTTGATTAAAAAGTAGCCATATCACCTAACCTATGACCATAGCAATAAGTTCTGCCTGGATCTTTAAAGTGAAGCTCCCTTCCTTGTAAGGGCTTTGTAGCAAACTGATTTTTAAGAAGCACTTGCCTTCTTATGGGAATAGCCTAGAACTCCCAATGCCATTTACAATAGCTATGCCGAGTAAGGCAAATATGTGCAGGCAATAAATATGACAATATCTACGCTTAGCTGCACTATATCAGGCTATCAAGAGTCCTGTTGGTTTTCTTGTTTCCCAGCAAGAAAACGAAAAACATGGGAGTTGTAAAGGTGGCTTAAGGTCTCAGACCTTTTCCAGAAACTAGGCCCCATCTAATAATCTGAAACTTCTGACAAAATGTGTTCTGAAGGCAAAAACTTCCAAGTTTGTGTTTATTGTCTTTCACTTTAATGTGACAAATGTAAAGATTGAAGTGAATGGCTACATTTCAATCTTGATCTTCTGTTTCTTTCGTTCCAGCTACCTTTGTTTTAACATTTTGTTTGTTCAATTTCCCTTAGATATAATTAACTTTTATTTCACAACGTTGTTCCTAAAGTGAAACATTTGCAATTAAAGTTGAATTCAATCAGGAATGTTAGATCCATTACCATTATTCTATACGGTCATAAAGGGGCAACTTTAAATCAATCTATCCTTTAGTTAACTGACAGTGAAGGGTTCACACTGGTTTCACACCCTGGTTGACTTTATATTGAAGTCAACATTGTTGCTAAATCAATGTTCCACCATATCCCATGGCTTTTCTACACTGTGCATTGGTTTAAGATTAGTCCTATGAGTGCTAATGTAGGAACAGGAGAAAGCCATTCAGCCTATTGAGCCTGCCTGACATTCAATACGATCCTGGCTGATTGAACACTGCAGACTGATGCTATTTCTGAAATTTTACGAGGTAACTACAGTTCTGAATAACTATTTATCACAGGGTTATTAACAAATTTGTTCTTAGTTATTTGGACAAATATCAGGCATGTACCTCATGTTCTGAGAAAGATCACTGGACCCAAAACATTAATTCTGATTTCTCTCCACAGATGCTGCCAGACCTGCTGAGCTGTCCAGCTATTTCAGCTTTTGTTACTGATTTCCAGCATCCGCAGTTCTTTCAGTTATTATTTTAGTACCTCACCTTGATTTTGAACAGTGACCTTACACAAACTTCTAGGGATGGTAGGGAATTAAGGAGTCTACCCTGCAAAGTTTCAAGGTGGCAACAAGCTATGTCAAACATCACTGACTAAAATGGTTGAGAAAATGGCAAATAAAAGTTAACACAAGAAAATTAATGCACTAATATGATAATAATGAATGCAATTTCCTACTATCTTACTGTTCTGTCTGTTTTACTGCAATGTTATTCCTGGCAAATTGTGAGTAGCTTCCAGACAAAATGTTCAATCCATGGATCAGTGGAATATTGATGACTCTGTACTAATTGTAATGACAAGAATAATTCATCACTTGAGAGCAAATTACGTCTTTCCTCAATTTCTTAATTAGTGTTGTGTGTCAATGACCAGTACAACTTGCTTTCCCAGGGAAAAATAACATCAACTATCCAAGGACAACATTGTGCAGAGCTGGAAGCTGAGCTTCACAGAAACAAGAGCAAAGCATTAAAGATGCTGAAAACCTAAGAAACAAAAAATGCTGAAAATACTCAGCAGATCAAGCAGTCTCTGTGGAGAGAGAAAAACAAAATTAACATTTCAGACTGATGATCTTCAGCAGACTCCACAGAAAGTGCCAGACTGTAGATGATTTCCAGCATTTTCCCTTTACCTCTGCATTCTGAAAAAGTTGCTCTTTTATTTAACATACAAAACAGATTCATTCTCATTACTGTCAATCTACATTTGAACTATTTGTATGAGAACCAATACAGTAATGTTAATACTTCAGCGTATTAATAAAACCTCTGCAAATGATGGGACCCTTATGCATGAGTTTTGTCTTGTGAAACTTATATAGGCTTGCAAAGTGCTGACAATTATAGGATCTGTTTTCAAAACCGTATCAGTTCTTATCACCAGGAATGAAATTCATCAAATTACTTGGCAAATATATCTAAAATTTGCTTATTTCAGTGAGTCTAAAAAAATACACGGGCGACTTTTATTTTTATGCTTTTTATTTTAAAGACTAATTTAATCCTTTAATAAATATCTTCTCTATTTAGCCTAATCATTGGCTGTTCCTCACAAAAGTAGAAAGCAGAATTTAAATTCATGGCCCATTTGTCAGTTGAGTAGAAGAGATATTACCAACTTTGTAATAGGCCTCATGACCAACTCAATTTCACCTTGTTATGTAAATACCATTACAAAATAAATCATTTGTTGTTGTAGTTTCTAACTTAACATCTTCAGACTTAAGGTTTTAAAATAACTGTGATTTATATTTAACCTTCAAAATGAGAGTTAACCAAAATACCTTGTACTTTCCAATACCACTGGGAATGGTTTGATTATACATGCTCAATTTAATACTTTCTAAATTGAACCTGCCAAGGTCTATATAATGGGTATTGCCCTTATACTTTGTAAAATACACTGGATTCAATATGCTATTTACACATGCTTTGTTAATGTCTTTGTTTCTATATAAAAGTGAATCTGTTTCAGAATCTATTCAAAGCAATATTGCTCGTAACTCCATTGGCACCAAACACTGCTGATTCTAACGCTGCCAGATTGATTTTGCTGGTAAATTTAGCATAGGCGCAGTTAATAGCTTTTATGGTTTAAGACATGTGTATGCAGAATCAAATGCATTGAATTTGCTGGTCTTTTAGTGCATTTCTATGGCAGTTCTTGGGCGTGACGAAGTTTATAAAGGTGTCATCAGAATAGAACATAAGAACACCACTCTCTAGCAGACAAGGGTTTGGTGTGAGAAACAGATTGAGCAGACAGAACAGCTCCACTTTTGCATACAGGTAAAAATAATCGAACAACTATTTAAATTAAAAAAAAAAACTCCTGTCATTTAGTTTCAAGATTAGCGTGCTTACTAGCAAGTCTTTGACATCTCTTTTCGCTTTAGGAATTAAATGTTTCCCTGTTTTGCTTGCACATTTTTAACAATACAGCAATTGTAATTTTTTTCAAAAATTGCCTTATTTCAGGAGAGATTGCCATCTTACCCAGCTTCCTTCAAAATAGTTAGGTTATTGAATGTGTGTTGTTCATCTTTGAGCCACTGTGACTCTTAACCTCAAAGGAAATGTCAATAACCTCTTCCAATTTCATTTACTTTCCTTTCAAATTTTTTTTGGCAATAGATTTCATATTTGAATGTCAAACAAGCCAGCAACGAGAATGTAACTTGCAGAAACAGCATTTCGTGTACATTACGTTCACAAGCAATGACTGTGAACACAATGGATTTGACAGTGATATCAGAATAATATTGAACACTGCTACAGCTATTGCCATTTGTAAACTGTTCATAGCATTCCACCCTACACAGCCTTCCCCTGACAGAAGAGCCCATCCCAAATGTCAGCATGCATCCATTTTCTGATCCAGTAACTATATTTGGCACCAATATTATCCAATATCTGCCTGCGGGCTGGATTGTATAGCTGTTGGGTCTTTGAAATCCTCTTAAAAGCAACATCCAGGACTCCCTGCTGCCCTCATATCCCCATGCCCCCTCCTGTGAAGTAATCTTTTCACATAATCTGACAGCTAAGTACATACATTGAGTTGCATGTAGAACTTGAGCCATTGTTTTAAAATTAAAAAAGAAAAATCCACATTAATGAAAAGGAAATGTCTTGGCCTCGCTGCCAAATTCATAAACATAATAGTCTACAAAACACAGTAGACATAATTGATGCAGTTAAGACTGTGACGTACTTGGCTACGAAGTATAACAACATCAAAAGTTACAAAAGTTAACTTTAAATAAACAACCTCGACTGAAGACATATGTATTTATTGTTACTGACATGCATCATGGGCTACCAGGACACTAATAGTTAGCTGGACTAATGGTGTAACGAGAGATTTTTAACACAGAACAAGCCCTTATTTATTTCTGAACAACACTTGATAAGCAGTGTCTTTAAATTTAAACTACCTTTGTCAAAATTGTTTCAAAATGCTCCATGATTTTGCTGTCTGTATGGTAAAATAAGATAAAATGGGCATTTTTTTTTTAAGCCATACAGTTTTCACATGCAAAGCTACTTTCCTCTTTCTTCTGTCCACTGTACACTATTTACAGCGACGTACTCAAGCAAAAAGACTGACATCCCTGAGAGATGTACACAAGTTATTTACAAAAATGCTGCATGTTTCACGTACGGCTTTATGATATCTAGAAAGCGACATGTTGACTGATGCCAGCATTCCGACAACTGAACAGACCTTTTTTTTTGCCTTTATGTGCACAGTTAGCTAAGTTATAGCAGAGGGTGCACTGTGTATGATTCATCCCAATGGAAAACATTTCTGTTCTTATTTAAAGGAATGACCAGTGCAATCAACTGTCGGCTCAATAGCCCTCGCTTTCTCTTGTTTTACTTGCCCCTAATTATTAATATTGTGGAGATCTTTCCATAAGGAACAACAGATGCGAACTTGCACAGTATATCAATGTAATTTGCCACCAATAAACTGAGTCAGGCCAACACAGTCTGGTTTTAACTAGCCTGAACTGGCATTAACAAAGTAGTGGTCAAGGCAGTAAAGCAAAGCATATTTAAACCCTAGTAATGTACTTTGCAAGGTAAGATACTGTGTCCAAAAATCTTATTGATTAGTTCTGCAAGTCCTCTTCTCAGTCCTTTATGCAGTCTTCCATGACTCCTTGGGCAGATAGCTCTGCAAGAACATTTTCCAAATAGTTAGGATCTGGGTAGCCATGTCCAGTTAAATTTGATCCAAACTCTGTTTTATGATGGATTTCATTCCATACTACAGTATCCGTTTCTCCAGTGGTGTTGGATGTTCCAATGGTGAAAATCAACCTGCGATCCCATGCCACAATCAAGAGCTTCAGAATCTAGTGATTGAAAATTAAAGATCAGAAAGAAAGCAGATTTCTATCCCTGAAGGGCGTTAGTGAACCAGATAAGTATTTACAATATTTGACATTGGTTACATGGTCACCATAAGACTTGTTTTTAATTCCAAATTTTTATCGGTTTTAAATTTCACTATTTACCATGGTGGAATTCAAATCCAGGTCCCCAAAACCAATGCATCCACTACTTATGTAGCCCTGTGGTAGGAGGAGATAAATTGTTTCATTTTTCATTCATTGGACCCCAGGTGCCTTGAATGTGCTCTTAATAGCTTGCCGTTCTAGAGACAAAAAACAGAAATTGCTGGAAAAACTCAGCAGGTCTGGCAGTATCTGTGGAGAGAAGTCAGAGTTCACATTTCGGGTCCAGTAACCCTTCCTCAGAACTGATAGTAGCTAGGAAAAAGTTGGTTTTTATGTAGAAGATGGGACGGGGGTCAGGGGGTGGGTAAGGAGTAAATGATAGGTCGAGATAGAGCCCAAAAAGAGAGAAGAACAGTTTTATGGACAAAGGAGTGGATAACAATCAGCCTAGGGTGAAGGCTCTTGTGGTGCAATGGTAGTGTCCCATCTGTGGGCCAGAAGACCCGGATTCAAGTCCCACCCTGCTTCAATGGTGTGTCAAAACATGCCTGAACAGGTTGATTGAAATATCCGCACTTCCAGGGCAAATTTTAAGAGCTCAGAGGTGCAGAAAATATGGACCAGCTAGCAAAACTTAGACAATTACATTTGTTACCTTCAAATAAGATGGATCTAAGATCTGATCTGGGACTCTTCTTTTTAAGGTTTTAAATGAGGTTTTCCACATCATTGTCATTAATTAATGTAACCTCCAGTCAGAAAAACCATCTGTTCAGGGATCTGAGATAACAAGGTGTAGAGCTGGATGAACACAGCAGGCCAAGC